AGAGTAGAGTAGAGTAGAGTAGAGTAGAGTAGAGTAGAGTAGAGTAGTAGAGTAGAGTAGAATAGAATAGAATAGAATAGAATAGAATAGAATAGAATAGAATAGAATAGAATAGAATATCGGAATAAAGAATAGAATAGAATCTTTTATTGGCCAAGTGTGATTGGACACCCAAGGAATTTGTCTTGGTGCAAATGCTCTCAGTGTACATAAAAGAAAAGATACATTCGTCAAGAGTCAAGAATCATCAGGTACAACACTTAATAATAATAATAGTCATAGGGTACAATAAGCAATCAAATCATCCTAGGAAACAGTCAATATAAATCGTAAGGATACAAGTGACAAATTTTCAGTCATACAGTCACAAGTGGGAGGGGATGGGCGATAAGGAGTGATGAGAAGATTAATAGTAATAGTAGTAGTAGACTTTGTAAATAGTTGGACAGTGTTGAGGGAATTACTTGTTTAGCAGAGCGATAGAATCAGGAAGGACTTTTAAATTCTTTTATTTTACTGATGTCTCGAATCCAGTTCCGCCTGCGACAGTGCGGTCTTTCCCACCCCATCTACCTGGTAGAAGACGCAAATTCTGCACAACACCTCAGCCTTCCCGAAAAGACTCTGCAACAAGCCATTATCAATACTCAGGTGAGGCTCACCTGCGAAGGGGATTCCTTGTGTCTCAAACTCCAGAAGCAACGAAGATGATTAGGGGACTGGAGGCTAAATCGTACGAGGAATAGTTGCAGGAATTGGGTTTGGCTAGTCTAGAGTAAAGAAGGACTGGGGGGGACATGATAGCACTGTTTCAGTATTTGAGGGGCTGCCACAGAGAAGGGGGGCGGGGTTGCTTTGGAGATATTCTCCAAAGCAACAGAAGGCAGGACAAGGAACCATGGATGGAAACTAATCAAGGAGAGGAGAAACGTAGAAATAAGGAGAAATTTCCTGACTGGGAGAACAATTAATCAGTGGAACAGCTGGCCACCAGAAGTTGTGGGTGCTCCGTCACTGGGGGCTTTTAAGAAGAGATTGGACAGTCACTTGTCTGAGATGGCATAGGTTCTACTTGAGCAGGAGGCTGGACTAGAAGACCTCGAAGGTCCCTTCCAGCTCTATTCTATTCTATTACTCTATTCCCTACTCGACTTGACTCTACTCTACTCTACTCTATTCTGTTATTATTCCATTCCATTCCATTC